TTCAAAAAAAAAAAAAAAAAAGAAAAGAAATGGGGCATGGGGTAGGGTAAGTTCCATCAGCATGGAGCCTGACAGTGCTTAAGGGATTCTCTCCAGCCCTGGCCACAGCCACACTTTTTGGGGTCAAACACTGACCATCACTACTTTGGGTGTCAGAGTCTTGAGAAATATCCAGGTAGAAGGGTGGGCCCCTGACACCAACAGATAGCTGAAAGGGAGCCTCAGAAAGCTGCTGCCCAGGAAGCCTCGCAAGCCCACCAGCCGGGCAGGAAAGCCAAACAGCAGGATTTTCCACCCAGAAAGTTGATGGTGAAAATGAGTTTCACAAATGCTGTTCTGGACTGAGCTAGGTCCCTCCCAGGAAAAGCCAGACCTTAACCACAAGGAACATCCCCTCCTGCCCACTGCTCCTTCTGGTTCTCCCTCACTGCCTTCTCTTTCTTCTGTTGAAGGAAGGCTTCTGTTCTGTTCTGATCTTCGGGTCAGTGCTGGGTGTGGGGAAGCTTCTGAGCAGTTGGTGGAGAAGCTTTCTGAGCATGATTTTCTCCAAAAATGTTAATGGCTTTTACTGAGCCCTTGGTACACAGGACACTCCAGGTGTTCCTCATCCTAAGTGCTTCTGTCTTTCCCTAGAGAGTCTGTGTAAACTAAAAGGGGTGGGCCCTCAGAGGAGCTTTTCCCCTTCCTGTAAAGCAGGACTCTTGTTTCCTGTTTATACCAGTACCACAACCCTCTGGGGAAATGGCTGAGGAACTGTGGGAGGTTGGGTGGTGATTGAGAGAGAACCTGAGAGGGTCTGCCTCACTTTGCCTCTGTTCCCAGCCCTCAGGATTGAAAGGGAAGGAAGGAGGAGGGGTGCCCGGGAGTTGGGTGGAGATGAGTTGGTCCCGGTGCCCACCAGGAGTGAGGCAGAAGTGGATGCTGGCCTGGTCCTGCTGCCAGGGCTGCTGCAGGGGAGGCAGGGGCACCTGTCAGGCACGGGAGCAGGAAAATGGGTGCTGTCATACCTCAGGATAGTCTGGACACTTTGGTCTATCATAGGTCAAGTAGAATTAATTAGCTCATCAGTTCAACAAATCTTGGGGCACCTGCTATGTTCCAGGCACTGCTCAGTGCCGTGTGAACAGGTAGCTCCCGGCCTCTGACGCACCACCGTGTCTGACATGTATATGATGTTTTTACCATGTGTCCCAGCTTATACTCATGAACATATGACATATACTGATGAAAATGCCCAATACAAAGCATACATGGAAAAGAAAAGAAGAATGAGGTAAGTAGAGATAAGTTCTAAGATTTTTTCCCACACTTTGGCAGATGGTGATGCATGCATCCAGCTTCAGAGTCTACTAGTGTGCACGGTTGCTTTAATGGGTAGCCTTTGTATTCCAGACACCGCCTTACAGTTTTGAGTCGGGGCTGCCAGTGTGAAATAGCTTGAAGCAAGGTAGGCAAATACCATGCCTGGTATTATTAGTACCTGGCCCCAGCAAGGCCTGATGCTCTCCTTGGGAAGGGTGCCCAGCTTGTCTGGGGTGGCTGTTTTAGGCTCTTGTGCTTTGGTCCTGTGTGCTGTGGTCAGGCTACTGAGGGGTAAGTGGGGGAGGGGGAGTGTGGCAGGCACCTGCTGCTATTCAGTCCTTTATAGTTTTCATAGACTTTCATCGAGGTCACATTGGTCATCCCAACAACATTCCAAGTTAGGGAGTCCTTTCCCCACCGAAGACCAGAGCATGGAGGCCTGTGCTGCATGTCACGAGTGTCAGAGCTGGTCCTAGGCCTTGCTTTCCTTGACTGGTTGCTGCCTCATTCTGTAGAAAGTTTTCCTTGACATCTACCCGCCTCGCTGTGCCCCAGAAGAGCAAACTGATGAACATGTTCAGCATGTGCCACCTTTCTTGTGGGAAGGAGCATGGATCCCAGGTCCTTGAGTCCTTCCCAATCCTCTATGGAAGCTGTCGCCGGCACTCAGCTTCCTTTTCCCAGCTTTGAGCAGCTGCTTCCCCAGGCAGAATGCCTTTGTCCACGAGGTGGGGAGGAGCTGGAAGACTGCAGGCCTCCAGGTTCTCTCAGGTTCCTGTTCCCTTTGGTGTCCACAGGACATCAGGAGTGGGGTGGCTGGCTGACCTGTCCCCCTCCTCCTCTGTGTCTTCCCTGGGCTGTGCAGATTCCCCTCTCACAGGGATTTGCCCTTGCCACCTGTTTGGCCCTATCTCAGCTTGTGGGAGAGCGTGGTCCATGTTGGTGTTGATCTCCTGCTTGGAGGATGCTTCCCCAGTAGACCTGGGTGAGGCCCAGGGAACCTGGAGTTACTCAAAGGCAGGAAAAACCTAGAAAGTTAACCTCTTTCAGGCTTGTTTGTTCAGGTGATTCCTTCATTTCTTGGTTGCTCAGCTTGGTCCCCTTGAGGTCTTGGTAACAATAGTTGCGGTATCTTTGAACAGTTCTCTATCTCCTTTTACTACTCTCTGCCTCCAAATGCCTCTCTTCACTCCACCCCTTCCTACAAGAAAGGAGGGGAGTCAGGTCTGACAGTGTTGCAGGATGCGGTGCTGGACTAATGGAAGGTCCAGAGAGGCTCTTAGCACGGAGCTGGAGCTGGAGCTGCTTGCTCCTCCCTCGCAGGATGCTGCCTGGGTTCCGTTCCTGTCCTTCCCTGCTTGGGGAAGCAGCAGCCCTTGTGAGTCTCCTTGACAACAGGATGGATAAGCTAAAAATAACCTTATGCCGGACTTTCTGTGCGTGAGTGCCCTCTCACCTGCTGTGCTGGAGCACAGTCCCTGCAGCTTCTGGGTGCTCCTGGAATGCATCTATGGGAATCTTGGTGGGGTCCAGGTGCCAGCATTTTGAAGCCCTGAGGTTTTAGAGGTCAGAGCCAGGTAATCAGGCAGCATCATTACCTTGTAGTGATTACTGTAATATTACCGGCGGTTGCTGATGGTGTGTGGGTGTCAATGTTGAAATAAAGATTGGAAAGCTGTTCTGAATGCTTTATCTTCATTTAGTCTTCCTGGAGAGGGGCAACTCTGAAGATCTTGCTGTGTTTCAGAGCCTCTGGAGTGGTGTACTGGGACACAGCCCTGGGTGGGAGTTTGATTATATCTCTTCAAGGAATCCCCATGGGAAGGAGGAGCCTTACCTTACTGGGCCCCTTTTATAAGGTGAAAATGTCAAAGTATAGAGGTACTGGGGTGACTTATTCAGAGCCACCTGGCTCAGTTGTAGTGGAATAGGGAGCAGTCACCGTCATCAGAAGCTGTGGCTCTTTCCCTTGGATCCTAATGATGAGGCCGTCTCTATCAGGACTGTACCAAAGCCAGCTGTTTCTTTTATATCAGCAGTCTGCACGAGGCGAGGCCCTCTTTTTTGCTAATCTGTTTTGTTTTTCTGTTTTGCTGATCTGCACTAGTTAATGCTCTCTGTCTTCTCAGAGTTGTAAATTAATTTAGAAAGAGCTGTCTCTCTGAGGGCAGGGGCTGGATTTTTCTTTTTTCTTTTTTGAAAGGGTAGGGTATTTTATTTTTTTATTGTATTTTAGGTTCTGGGGTATGGATTTTTCTTTACCTACCTGGACTTAATTCTTCTCTTCCTCCTTCCATCCATTAGTAAGCGTTTTGCTGTGTGCCACACGTGGGGATAATGAGAACAAGATGTTATGTTCTTGTCTTTAAGGAGCTCATTGTCAGCCAAGGAGACATTTACCAAAGTCCCCACGTGGCCAGAGCTGAGAGGGAGAAGGTTTGAGTGTTAAGAGAGCAAATAACTGGGGTGTCTAACCTTGGCTGAGGTGAAGGTGAGGGTTAGAGCAGTCTGAGAGAACATATTTGTGACACAGATTACTCAAATCTGAAGTGCCTAAACCACTACAAATCAACGAAAAAAGGAAGGCAGAAAACTCTGCAGAAAAACTGGCCAATAATTTGACAAATAATTGACAAAAGAAGATATCCAAATGACCAATGAACATGTGAAACAGTGCTCAATTCCATGCATTTATCAGTCATCAGGGAAGTCAGAGGACCTGGGTTAATATGAGACATTGGGCCACACGTTGAAATTTCCAGATTCCCTGTTTCTTATTTGTAAACAGGGCTTCTCCTGCCCTTCCCTTCCTCCTAGTACTGCCCTGAAGTTTGCGGGCCTGGGAAAGGCTCTTCAGACTGTGCAGGGCTATACAGATACTAAGTAGTGTTGATACTGTAAGTGATTTAATTTCTCCTCCACCTCTTCTCATAGCAACTATTCTAAGTTCCCCTATGAAAGAAAAGACTTGAGTAGTAGGATGGTTCCTCAGATTCAGAGGAGCCTGTCCCTTGATACTTTGGATAAAGAGCTTACTGCTGGCATGGCTCTGGTTCCCTCACCCAAGCTGGGAGCAGGGTGAGTTCCTGCAGGTCTTTTAACACCCAGGGCCTGGTGGAAGGGGAAGGACAGTGGTGCACCAGTCCTGGCTCAAGCATTGGCTAAAGTAGGCTGTATGGTTCATTGTGCACACTGCCGTGGTTGACCTCCTCACAGAGTGCTCTAGTGAAGTCCAGAAATAATACTCTGGTCTTGGGGCATGTTGGCATTAACAGGTCTACAGGGGCAACAGCCCACACTACCTGGCTTCCTCTGAGAGAACTTGGTCAGTGCCATTGGCTACCCTGGCAGGCTCAGGGATAACCTTCTGGTAAAACCAGTCCTAGCCTCCCTTTTGCATTCTTTGGATACAAAGGAGCTGTGTTCTCTCTCTTCTGGATCTGTCCTCTGTGGTTGAGCAGATGGTATGCGGTGCAGATACACACCTCTTTTCCAGCAGAGTGCGGCTGACCACTTCGGCACATGTCACAACAGCATCAGGAGTGCTGCTAGTCCTGTCGGTCCCGTCACCTGACTGTGCCAGGTTCTTAGGCCCTGTTTGGAATCTTTCCCCACAGATCTCTCATGACAGGCATAGACTTCTCAATGGTCTACTCGGCGCTTTTTACCTTTTTCTCTTGTGTGTTTCTGCCACATAGGAGTCAGAGTCAGAAGCAAAGGTAGATGGAGAGACCGCGTCGGACAGTGAGAGCCGGACAGAATCTGCTCCCCCGCCAGTCTCTGCAGATGATACCCCGGAGGTCCTCAATAGGGCTCTTTCCAACTTGTCTTCAAGGTAACCTGGCTTAATGATGCAGGTGGTTGTTGGGGGCTTTGCACCATGTCCAAGTGCTCTGGAAGAGCCTGCAGAGAGCCCATGGTCTCTTGGAGCATGCCTGCTCACTTGCCTCAGCCTCCTGTGCCGCTGCTCCAGGCCCTGTTGAGTATAAGCTAGTGCTTGGCAGTGGCTGTGAGCACAGTGACCAGGAGGGGAGGGCAACCAAGGCTGGAAGGATCTGGCCCTGGAAGGGTACTCCAGTCTGGACTAGGAGGTGAGGTCCAAAGAGGAAGAGGGGACAGGAAGGATGGAGGTGGGTGAGTTCAGCTGACACTGCATGTCACAGGAAACTGACCTTGGGTTTGTGACTAATGGGCAGGCTGCTTTTTACTGAGGAGTCCATGTTTCCAGTTCAGAGTTTAGTTTCTCTCTCCCACATTCATTGGGAACAGTTCCTTAAATTCTCCAGGAAGAACTGGGAAACATCTGAACTTAGATGAATCTAGGGTTAAAACTTTTGGCCCTTGAGAACTTGGTCCTTCTTTTTTTTTTTTTGGGACGGAGTTTCGCTCTTGTTACCCAGGCTGGAGTGCAATGGCACGATCTTGGCTCACCGCAACCTCCGCCTCCTGGGTTCAGGCAATTCTCCTGCCTCAGCCTCCTGAGTAGCTGGGATTAC